TATGAGAAGTTTAAATTTATATTAATTTTTTTAAATATTGAGTCAGTTAATGTGAGTATTAGAATTTGGATGGCAGAATAAGCTCAGAAGAAGGTAGTCTTATCTCTCCTGTTAGGCTCCTGGACCGTATAAGTACTTAGAAAATGTTTACAAATTGACTGATAGGCTGTGAATGGCTTGGAAAAATTACTAGAAGAATTTAGAGACTTCTGTCCATGCTAAATGGAAAGGCTCCAGGATTCCCTTACCTGGGGCATATTTTTCAGCCCTAAGAGCCTTCTCAGCAGCATGGCTCTGTTGTCCGTGGGGAGAGGTCACAAAATGTCTTGTTCAAGTCATTCTATTCTAGAGCCTTGAATTTGAAAGAGAGCAAATGCTAACCTACATTAGTAAGCTATTAGCAAATGCCAAATATTCTGCCAAGGGCTGGTCCTTGTGCTATGACTGGCTAAACAGAGAAGCCCTGATGGAGTCTACAGCCCAGTGCCTCCAGGCAGGCATGTAAAAGGGATGGCGAGGCACAGAGTGATGCGGGCTGTGAAGGAAGGCAGTCTCACTGAGGTTTCCCAATGATGAGAAGGTGAATAGTGCAGTGCGAAAAGCCGGGACTGCAGAGGAGGCCAGTTCTTGTTACCTCAGCAACCTCCTTCACCTCTCTGACCTTTACTATTCTCCAGTAACAAAATGAGAGCAGTAAGGTACACTTTTGCAGTGTTATGACAGGAATTAAATGAGATAGCTAAGGCACAGAGAAAGCACTAATAGGCTGCCAGTCCATTGTAGTTGTTCTCCCGTTTCAGCCCACTTAGGCTTCAGTACCCATCAGGATGGCCAGCTCTGTCCTGCACCTACATGGTGCTCAGGGTGAATTAGGAAAGGAAGCACTCCTTATGGATATCACTCGGTAGCCACGCAGGTCAGCAGATTCCAGCCCCAGTTTGTCAGGCTGGGCATCTTGGGCCATGCACACCTGCACAACACCTGCACTGGCTCCAAGGATAGCTAAGAATGAATCTGACCCCTTATCTCCAGTGTGGCCCTTTGGGTCATTTAATGTATTTAACTGTGGTATGAAACAGTTTTTTCACATTCATGGGTGTCTCAGTTTGAGAAGCATGTTACAGTCTGTCTTCTTAAATAATAAAATATAGGCTAAAATTCTGAAGTTAAAAACTCAAAAAGAATGAGCTTTTTCGTATGAGGAGGTATAAGGACTGAATGAAGTTGGAGTTGGTAAGTTGGCAGAAGAAGGGAAGAGATGAGTTCTAGCAGTGGGTAAATCATAAGATTAAAAATAAACAACTTAGCAAGGCCACAGTCTTGTAGTTCCACAGACAATGGGTAGCCAGATGAGGACTCTATTTTTCCATATCATTTAATCTCTACTTACCCCCAACACACAGCTCCCAACCATGAACAAGCACCTTCCTACCATATGTAAGTCTCTCTATCCCTTCTGTTATTGTGCCAATAGACTAAGAGCTAGTGAACAGACACTTTGAGCCTTATTAGCTGGATTTCTTGGGAAGAGAGGACCAAATTAAAAGCCTGACCTGCCTATTTAATGTTTAAATAAAATGTTAACACTCAACTGTAGACCACAGGCCATACTAAAAAATGGCAAGATATGGAAAGAGAAATAGACAGATTGCCTTTAGTATCTGAGAGGGGCTTAGATTGAATGTTACAGTCATGAGAACATAGCTGGAGATCAGAGTTCCTGGGACCAGGGTGTTAGATCTTTAGACTTTGGCCTCTGAAGTTTTTTCGGTTATTATTTGGGGTTTGTAGAATTTCAAAAGGAAAATAGAGAGGTGACAGATTAATAGAATTGGGATATGAAGATAGCTCTTGACTTCATAGCTTTGTGGTCTGGACATGTTACTTATTCACTCTGAGCTTGGTTTCTCCCTGGACACTTGGGGGATGATCATACAAGCTCACGGAATTTTGGTAAGAGACTGATGAGCTAACAAATGTGGAGTACTTGGTACTGAACCCACCACAGCTAAGGCTTTGTCAAATGTCTGTCACTTTTCTTCTCTGTTCTTATTCTTTTGGAGAAGACCAGGGAAAGTATTTGTGCATCAGTGACTTACTTTTCTGGATTTCCCACCCCCCCCCACCCCACTTGCAGAAAGTCAGAAACATGGCTCTGGATGATGTTGTGATCCTGAACGTGGACACCAACACCCTGGAAACTCCCTTTGATGACCTCCAGAGTCTCCCAAATGATGTGGTACGTAATAAACTTTTAATATTCTGAGTCCTTTGAGCTCATGCAATGGACTTCAACATGGTAGATGTGGGGAAGGGAGAAGAGAGCTGTGGTTTTCCTTTGCCTCAGGAATACAGTTGAGTCTGTTGCCTCTGGAAGCTTTGTGTCAGTGTAGAAAGCTTGCAAGTAGTCTATTTCTTAAGGGGTTTTTTGTGCTTATAACTTTCATTTGAAAGATTGTGATCCTAGTGTCAAAACACTCCTATTTCTGTAGGCTACTAGGGCTTTTGCCATCCGTCCCAATATGTTACCGTTTCCAGAATGGGCAGCTTCCTCTGCTGGTGCCTCAGCAAGTGGGTGGGGAGGCTCCTTTAGGCATTGTAACCAGCACTTCCCCCCCACCCCCCGCCCTCCTCATCACCAAACAAAGCCATTTTCCCCTCTCAGGTTATCTGTTACCAGTGCTTCAAATGTTTCTAAGTGATTCTCAAATCTCTGTGTCACTTTAGGTCTGGACAGGTGTGGACTCAGAAAAAGAAAAAACAATCAGTGGTCACATGTACCATTCTCATATTTGACTAGATGCCTGTGCCATGTTGCTCATGAGAATGAGGAGGCCTGGGTTCGCAGGGAAGCGTGTTTTGATAATTTTGGCTTGGCCTCCATGCTTCTACCTGTTAGAAGATCTGTAATGTTAGTCTGAAATCTAGATTGACAGGAGTCTATGTTCCTGCCATGTGGTGTTAATACCGGGCTGGGTGTGGTGTCCATGCCTGTTTTGGAGGCTGGGGGTTAGTGGTGGGGACTGTTTACTAGTAGGCACGAACACTGTTAATTTCTGGGAGCCACAGGAACACTGAAGAGTTCACTCTTCTAACGAGTCTGCTGTTTGTTGATGAAAGGCTCTCCACTCAATGATGCTGTGAGCCATTGGAGTCATCACTTGTGCTCTAGGACTATCCATTTCAATTGTAATATAATCATAGTGACTTCATTCACTGAGTTATTCTGTGCTAGGCACCGTGCTAAGCATTTGTCGCTGGCCAATCACTTACTCTTCATACTACTATTTCAAAAAAGAGAAAAGCACATCAAACTCATTGCTGTTGCGTCAAAACAGACTCATAGCTATCCCTCCAGCGGGTTCCCAGGGCTGTAAATGGCACAGGGGAAGATTGCCTCTCTTTCTTCCTTGGAGCCTCTGGTGGGTTCAAACCACCAGAAAGGCGTAACGTTTGGATTAAGCAGTGCAGCTCCCTCCAGACCACACCACCAGAGCTTTCTCCACTGCTAAAAGGAAGGAATTTTTTTTAACTCCCATTTTCACCCCCCAGCACTGAAGGGATGGAGCATACAAGCTTTCCCTTGGTACTTTCTTCATTTAGAAGTTCATTCAGTTAGCAGCATAACCATGTGGAAAAGGAATTCTAAAAATTATGTGGCTGGTGAGGGACATAGCGAGATTGCAATCCTTGTCTTGATATGACTAAAGTCTGTGCTGCTTCTTCTGTTTACACTGCTGGCTTGCCTGTGAGGCTGAGAACAATGACAGAAGAAACAAGAAAAATAAAAACAGCATATAAATGTAAGAATATTTTGCAAAGCACATCAGGACAGGGTGCTTGGCCGTTATCTTGGGTCCTCCTGGCCATAATTATACTGACTTTGCTCTAAGGAATCTGAGGTGTCCACACTTGTTCCCTTTCAGTGGGAAATCTCTTCCTTTAATTCTTAACAACTCAACTGGCAAGTAACAGCAGTGAATCCTAGGCATGGGCTTTGCAAGTGCTATGTGAGTTTGGGAGGAAAGCTGAGGTACATCAAGCTCATGGCCCAGGGCCATGGGGCAAATCTGGATGAAGGACTAATGTGGCTCCGAAGTCATAAAGGAGACTGACTAGACCCTTGTGCATATATGTTGTGTTCTGACACTCTGCAGGGTGAGTAACAAAGATGAAACAAAGCCAGGCTTTGCCTTCAAAAAGCATATTCCAGTATGGGATACAGTCTTGTTAATTATCTATGTATTACAATATAGCACAAGAGAGGCAAAATAAAAAATAAAATAAAATAAGAACCAGGCACAGTAGGGCTGATGAGGGAGTGACAAAATCTTTGGAAGGGCATTAGAGGCTTCCTGAAAACTAAAAATTCTGGGAGCATTTTTAATGAGTAATGAGGTAACCTTTGGGAATCAAAGATATTTGAACAGTTTCTTTCCTTCTCTTTCCTGTCTTTAAGAGAGAGATCATTGGACCTACCAGTAGGATTGTGGTGGTGGTTGCGTACTGTAGAATCAGAACTGACCCATAGCTGACCTTTCAGCAGGTTTTCCGAGGCCATTAATTGCACGGGAGGAGATTGCCCATCCTTCTCCTGCAGAGCAGCTAATGGTCTTGAACTGTGTGCCTTCAGGATTGCTGCACAGCTTCTTGCCACTTAGGCCACGAGAGGTCCTACTAGTAGCATTACTTTGACAAATAAAGAGATGATAATGCTGTTGGTAACTGGCCTAGTGATAAGAAGCTGCGCTTCAGTCCCAAAAGCACAGGGTTCAAATCCAGAAGCTTCTCTTGGGAGATGGATGGGCAGACTCTTCCCATGCGATTAATTGTCTCTGAAAACTCACTGGAGGATCAGCTATTGGTTGTCCCCAACTTGACACTACACAACAATTCCCTAACACAGGGTAGAGTCACCCTATAAGGTTTTCTGTGCTGTAATCTTTACAAGGTCAAGTTGCACCTGAGCACTTCACTTGGTATGTTGTCAGATTTAAACAAGAGAGCTGCATTTGTTGACAAAAAAATCTTCTTATTATAGACAGGATTAGGGGACAATTAGTAGCCTTTACATCCTGACTGTCTCAAACTACCTATGCTAAAAGGCCTCCTATTTGCAAGCTGGTGTACAGCACAATTGAGAATATACCACAGTGGTGATGTCCAACATGAGGCTCTACCTCAGTGAGTACTCCAAAGATGGTAGTGGAAGAAAATATGATCCATGAAATATTTATTATATTTCAATAGATTATAGACTCGATTCAGTAAGACTGTAACTATCAAACCTCTGTTGTCATTATGTGCCAGTGAGTTAGAGTCTACGCATAGCTGACCCTTCAGCAGGTTTTCAGAGGATAGAAATCATATGGGAGGAGGTTGCACCTCTTTCTCCCTCAGAAAAGCCGTAGATTTAAACCACCTGCCTCTGGGTTGGCAGCACAACTCTTTACCCACAAAGCCACCCAATGTTCCTCTCAAACCTCTGTTGTTGTTGGTTGTTAAGTGCCGTTGAGTCACAGGCGGCTCATAGCGACCCTATGAAGGAGAGTCCTCAACACTTGGGTGCCTTTCATCCTCTCTCCAGGTTTATAGGGTTTCCAGAGGCAAGCTATTATGGAAGTGGATGCCACTCTTCTTTCCAAGCTTGTTTTAATCGGGGAGCTCCACCCCACTCTCTGTCTGCATTGGGTAGCCAATCATCAACACATTTGACACACCAGTGTCACGGTGTTCCTCACAGCAACTAAAAGTGAACGTGGTATGGCAACTTGTACACCAGGGCTATACGACCTAGAGGAATAGCTGAACAAAAACAATGTAAGACAGGTCCAAGGGCAGCAGATTAAAAGTCACCCACCTTTGGCTTCTTAAACCTCTGTTGTTGTGTTGTTGTTATGTGCCGTTGAGTCACTTGCGACTCACAGCGACCCTATGTACAACAGCCCTAAACTCTGCTCTGTCCTGTGCCAATCGCACTGTCTCTGACACACCCATCAAAATTTTCCCAGTCACTGAATCAATCCACCTCATAGAGGGCCTTCCTCTCCTGCGCCGTCCCTTCACCCTACCAAGCATGATGTCCCTCTCCAAGGACCGGTCTCTCCTCACAACATGTCCAAAGTATGTTAGACGGAGCCTCAGAATCCTTGCCTCCAAGAAGCCACCCGGTTTAACCTCTAGAGGGAAATAATATCTGGATCATCTTGTGCCCCTTATACTTGGCATATGATCTGGTATTTAGTGTATCAACAGGGAGACTGCAAAGTCTCCCCTTGTGATGAAGCTGCTTGTTTTCTGAGATGTTCCCATCCCTTCTTCTCCCTCCTCAGCACTTCCTATTTTGAGGTTTTGTTTCTATCCTCCACTGTTACCAGCAGCCTCTGCATTAGTTCTTCTGACGCCAGTTCTTTTTTCTCACAGAGTAACCTTTCCAAAACATAAATTTAACTGTCATATCCTTATATTTAAAAACATTGTGGTAATGAATGTAAACTCTTAAAAAAAAAAAAAAGCATATGATCAGGAACCAGTGGTGATGAAGGAAGAAGTTCAAACTTCATTGAAGGCTTTGGCAGTAAAATAAGGCCATGGCAATTGATGAGGTACCAGTTGGTGTGTTTCAACAGACAGATGCAGCCCTGGTTAGGTTCAACAGGCTATGCCAAGAAATTTGGTAGATAGCTACCTGGCCATTTTCCCCTTCCCGAAAAAGGTGAACCAACAGAATGTGGAAATTATCAAATAATATAACAGGACTGCAAGTAAAATCTTTCTGAAGATTATTTAAAAAACAGAACAGTACATAGACAGAAATGCAGACTGGATTTAGAAGAGGCTATTACACACAGGAAGTACCAAAAAGATGTTTGCTTGTGCTTTATTAACTATGAAAAGGCATTTGGATCATATCCAGTGTGGATTGGAACAAATTTTGGAAAATATTGAGAAGAATGGAAATCCTAGAATACTTAACTGTGTTCATTTTGCAAAACCTATATACCTAGACCAGGAAGCTGTTGATCAACAGAGCAAGGGAACACTACATGGTTTAAAATCAAGAAAGTTGCATGTCAAGGCTGTGTCCTCTCTCCATACCTGTTTTATTTCTATGCTGAAAAAATAAATCATTCAAGAAGCTGGACGTTATGAAGAAGAGACTCGTCAGATTCATCAACAACCTGCATTATACACATCACAAAACCTGGCTTGCTGGAAGTGTGGAGGAGTGAAAACGCT